CGAGCTCCTCGTGGGAGCACGAGGCTATGAACTGTTCGAGCTCCTCGAGCTCCTCGAGCTCCTTTTAAATGACACGGTTGTTTATGAAAATGATGCTACTTTTACTCAAAAAGATACAAGGTACTCAAATTCAACCCAACTGAGAGTGGTAAACACTGAAGGAGGATATGCATTAATAACATTAATATTTACTTTAAATGATCACAACCAAATTTCAGATAGATTTAATCGATGCAATTTATATGTTTTGCTAAACAGCCTGTGTTACTGTGAAATGAACTTAGAGGATGAATTAAAAAAAAAGATAATTTCCTTCTTTGCTCATGAGCAATGAATTTAAAAATGATAACGTACCACGTCCTTCAAAGGAAATCATGATATCAGCTTCCATATCATGGACCCTGACAAAATTCAGTGGGGTTTCTTTTTGCCAAATATTCACAGCCCTCCATACGGCATCTTCTATCTCAATGTAGCTTAGTTGAGGTAGATAGTTCACTATACTTTAGGAAGGAAAAACATGGTTTTATCATTTTTTATATTCAACCAAAATTAAAAGAAATACATTATTCAAATTCTTTACTTGTATGTGACAAATGGCTTCATCCATCGAGGTCTCCCTGGATAGAGTTGATAGTGAGCGAGATCAGGAAAACCACATCGAGGTGCTTTCATTATTTCTATTGTTTCCTGGTTCAGTTCCCCTGTTTCCTGCAGTCCATAGAATTTTTGCAATTCTTTAATCTTTCTTGATAAGGAGTCCTTACTTTCTATGAGACTTTTTGAACCACGCCCAAAGGTATAGAACTGTTTAATGTATTTCTGTTTGAAAAAAATAAAATTAGAGTGAACCTATTGCATTACTTTCTTCGCTATGTTTAAAAAAAAGGCAAAATTATCACAATATCAAACTTACCGATACATTTATGAAGGATTGTTAAATATTACAAACCTGTGCATAATTCAAGTCATTTTGAGACATTTTCATTGCTTGATTTTGAGTAGAGATAGGCATAGAGTGAACAATATTCACAAATAGAAAAGAGAATGTCAAACAAAGGCACTTCATCCTCAGGGCTAATCCTGATGAACTAAAACATTTCTTGCTGGGACTGAAACCTTTCTACATTTAATTGTCTAAAATCTTGATGAGTCATTTCTTGTCTAAGAAAGTTTACACCAATGCTTTGTTGTTAAATTAGGAGGGAAATGATGTAAGAATAATTGGATATGTACCTCATTAAAAAATAACATACTCTTGAATTCATGTTCTCTTGTTGGGAATTGTAAATTGTAAATATGTTCAGGCACATTTAGATGGTTTTAATGAAGCCAAGTTGAATATACTACTGACATTGCAGTGCTGATGAAACGTTAGGAAAATCATTCCTTTTCAGTGTACAAACAAAATGGTAACAGAGAATGCCAGGAATTTTTGTTTTAAATAAGTAAGAAGTTTATTAAAGAATCTCTCTGATGAATCATTGAGCATCTGAATATTACAGTGAAGGTAGATTCCAAGTCTGACCCCTACATTTTGTTCCGTTCACTAGCCACAGTGCAGAGATCACAAAGATCCGAAAAGGTCACGGAGTGAGAAGAGAAGGAACGGATCGGGTTCCCTCTGATCCAGATTGGAAACGTGGGATGAAGACAGATTCAGATTTAACTGTGATGCCTCCTGCTGTAGACTACATTCCCACAGATGTTTGCATATAGATGAGAATGTTTGGCGAGTTCTGTACCCAGGAATAGATTCACTTTTTCTCAGCTGGAAAAATAGTTGGTGCCCGCTTAATAAACTAAAGGTAAACTTTATTCAGCACGAACTAACTGGAAAAGAAGCATTATGTTTATTCATCACTTCAATGATAGCAACAAAACCTCAGGAGGGACAATATTTGAATGTGATGCTGTGGAGCTTTATTCCTCTGTGCACAAATAGTAAGGTCAGGTGAACTTCAAGCATAGGAAGCAGACTGTGTCAGTATCTGAAGAGCTGTGAATTATACTGAAACATGTATGATCATCAGTGAACATCCCACTTCAGACCTTACACTGAAGGGAAGCAGCTCCTGCAGCATCATCCTGTGACAGAGATGATGAACCTCCCACAACCCCAACCGACTATCTTTGTGCTGAACTATTCTCACTGGGTTTTCCATCAAATTGTTTTGCTTAGTTTCCTTGATTCAAATTACTGCCTTAATGTTAAGGACAGCACTGGTATGCTTGGTACTGCTTCTGGCTTGCCCTCCGATAGTTCTCATTGAACCAGGATTAATTTCCTGAATTGAATTAGCTTTATTGTCACATGTACTCAAATGAGTGAAAAGTTTACAAGTTGCTGCTTAAGGTGCCATCCTAGGTACAAAGGTCCCTAGTTACAGCTTCTTCAGTTACAGATCTTACAAAATAGAGAAGTAAAAAGTCCAGCATTGCAGATTTTAGAAATAAATTATAAATTGGAGAAAGAAGAAAACGTTTAGAACAATGGTCTTCCAACCCAGTCCATGCTGACACCTAGCCTTCAGTCTACACCAGGCCTTGACTCCAGACCATGCCTGGCTTCACCTCAAGCTTCACGAGGCTGGGAGATCGCTCTGGAATCATCTCAAGACGGGACATCCACGCTGAGACCACCACAAACAGCCAGAAGGGCACCACGCCAGGCCTGGAGACCGCCATGCCAGGCCTCACCAGGTGTACACTGAGGCCGGGAGTTCTGAAGCCAGGAGTTCCGTGGTCACAAGGACCGAGGTCGGGAGGTTGGAAGTCAGGAGGCCGAGAACAGACAAGAGAAGAAAAAGACAAAGGAGAAAAAGGAGAGAGAAAGAAAACGAAAACATACGGATGGAATGGGAGCCATTTTGGATATGGTCCTGCTTGATGGTCACGGTAGAGTGGGGTATATCCTGGGCCAGGAAGTTACAGATTGGGGGTGAATATCTAGAGTATCATGTCGACACCCAATTTTTGAAATGATAGAAATCTACTTTGCACAGGGGATTGAACCACGCAACACGATGGAGATTATCCTCAAGGTGAGGCAGAACTTTGTCTCTACAAGAACTGTGTGGTGGTTACTCTTTCCCATACATTCACAGGTGGATGCATTTGTGATGGGTAGATTGGTGAGAATGAGGTCAAGTACTTACCAATAGAAGGAGGCCATTCAGCCCTTCAGGTCTACTCCATCATTCAATAAGATCACAGTTGATCTAATCTTAACCCAAACTACATATTCCTGCCAACTCCAATAATTTTTCATCTCCTTAGACAAAAATCTATCTTGGCCTTAAAAGTATTCCAATTTTGCTTCTTCTGCCTTTTGAGGAAGAGAGTTCAAAGACTCAATGCTCTGAGAGAAAACATCCTGCTTCCCTTTACCTTACAGAGGTGACTCCTATTTTTTAAGCAGTGATCTATATTGCTAGATTCTCTCACCAGAAGGAACATCCTTTCCACATTCGAGTCCCCTCAGGATCTTGTATATTTCAGCAGAATCACCTCTTACTTTTCCAAAGCCCAGCAGTTCCAAGCCAAGTCTGTCCAATGTACTGATACAACAACCCCAGGGATTAGGAAACATTCTTTGAACTGCCTCCAATATATTTTGATCCTTTCTGAAATAGGGAGACCAATTCTGTACACAGTAATCCAGATATGATCTCACCAGTCCCCTGTAAAAGCATAACCTCCCTCAATACCCTCCCCCCTTAGCAACAAACAATAAAATTCAATTGATGTTCCCACTTGCTGTGTCTGTAGACTCACTATATGCACTTGAACACCAGCTCAGTCCATAGTGGTGATATGAAGCCACTATAAATGATAGACATTGAAGACATGGGAACACAGGAACAGGAGTAGCCTATTCAGCCCCGTGAGCCTGTTCCACCATTCAATTAGATCATGGCTGATCTACGAACCTACAATTGTCTTTGGCCCACACCCCTTAATACTTTGCTTAAAAAAATTATCAATCTGAGATTTAAAATTAACAACTGATCCAACATCAACTGGCATTTGTGCAAGACCCCACCCTGAGTACATTCTGTGCCCTTACCACCCTAAGTGTTTCTTAAAATTAGTGTTCAACAAGGACTGATTCATCAGCCAAAGTAGATTGCAGAATGAGCAGGTTTCCTTGATTTGATTTATTGTTGTCACATGTACCTAAGTACAGTGAAAAGCTTTGTTTTGCAAGCAGTACAGGCAGATCATAGCAAACAATGATATACAGTTGGTGCACGTGTTCAAACTTCCATATCTTCTGCCTGATGGAAGAGGTTTGAAAAGAGCATTAACATGGTGGGAGGGGCCTTTGATGATCTTGGCAGCCGGAGGTTGGTTTGTGTGATGGTCTGGGATGTGCACACAAGTTTCTGTAGTTGCTTACAGTCCTGGGCAGAGCAACTGCTGTACCAGGCTGTGATGCACCCAGGTAGAATGCTTTCTATTGTGCATCTGTAAACATTGGTGAGGGTCCTTACGGACAAGCCTGATTTCCTTAGTCTCCTGAGGAAGATGAGGCATTGTTGTGCCTTCCTGACCGCCACATCTACATGGAAGGTCCACGTCAGATTGTTGGTTATGATCCCTCTGAGGAACTTGGCTGTCAGCGCTCTCCGCCTCAGCTCCATTCATGTAGATAGGGGCATGTCCTCTTCCCTTCTTCCTGAAGTCAATGGTCAGTTCTTTTGTTTAGCCAACATTGAGAGAGAGATTGTTATCATTGCACCATGATACCAAGCCCTCTGTATACTGTATTCTGACTCATCGTTATTTGATATCCGTCCTACCACTGTGGTATTGACAGCAAACTTGTTGATGGTGTTCATTCGGAATTTGGTACACAGTTGTGGGTATATAGGGAGTACAATAAGGGGCTGAGTATACATGCTTGCAGTGCGTCAGTTTGAGGATGATCATGTGCCCGTGTTAGAACTGATGCCACACTTTCATGGGGTCCAGTGTAAATATTGAGAACTCCCAAGACAACTCCTTTCTGACAGTATACCACTGTGCTGCCATTATTGTGTTTGTCCTGATGATAGGACAGTGCATACTGGAAGATGATGGTACTGTCTGCGACATTGTCTGTAAAGTGTGATTCTTTGAGATTGACTGTATTAGGCTGACGCTTGACAGGTCCATGGGACCAGTCCCCCCAACATTGGCACATGTCCCCAGGTGCCAACAAGGAGAATTTTACAAGGTTGACAGGGCTAGGTGTACCATTGTTGTTCTTGGTGACAAGATTAATGTCAGATAATCCACATGCTTTCATTCCCTTTTGAGTTTGTGGCAGTCTATTGCACTGAGCAGTCTGGCAAGATGCTTCAGAGACTAATTGCTCAATCACATTTTCATGGATCTGGAGTCATACATCAGCCAGACCCATAAGGACAACTGATTCCCTTCTCTAAAGGGATACTCTGGCAGGATTTGAAAAGGACATTTGTGAACCAGACTGAACAACTGAATGATGATCCAGTGACATTAATCCGTGTTCTGGCTTTATCCCTTTATAGTTTCCTGTTGCCATTAACACCGTGATTTCTAACTTATTGTCTTTGGCAAATCAGAATGTATAACTCTGTATTCCTTCATGTAATTCATCCGTGTACATATATAATGGAAAGCTCAGGCCCCAGCACAGATCACTGGAAAAGATCACTTTCCATATCCCAGCAATCAGAGAACATTGCTTATACCTTGTCTCTGTCATTTCTGCTGCTCAATCAATTATTAAACCAAGCTCTAAGGCTACCTTCATTTTTCGGTAATAATTTTTCATTGTAACCCGATCAAGTGCCTTCAGAAAGTCCATCTAAACAGCCAGGATCAATTTTTGCCCTCAAAAGCGGAGGTTGGGTCAGGAAAGGTGCCCCCTTTAATCGTGTGATTCTCATGCGACATTTTAATTTGTGGGGCCCACAACCACCAGCCTCTGAGTCTGTTCAAAGACAGCCACAAAGAGAGGCCTGTGGAAAGGCAGGCTATTTGGAAAGCCAGCCTAGGTGTTCTGGAACATTCTTCTCGCTGGTTTAAAGGCTGTTAGCTTATCTGGCATCACCCAACACATCCTGTTTCCCTCCCCCCCCAAC